CTTGTCTCCAAACAGAACTGAAAATGGGCACGGATGTCACTGTACATCAGCATTGCCAGGGTGAAGCCAGCATTATGTATGTGTGTGTGCAGAAGTATGTGAGGAGAGAAACAGACACAGAGAGAACAGAAGACAGTTACTCATAACCCCACTACGAATTATACCAGCTGCTGACACAATGGAGACCTCTCTGCATCCTGACTGACAAATGCAGAAATGCACACAAGTATTACAATTGAATGCTGGGACCTTGTGAATGTCCAAAACTGCACCTGCTCCTCAGATATCAGACCAGGTGTCTTTTCTATGACTAAGACATTCTCCTTTTAAGAGTACACAGTCACTTTAGTGTTATTTAAAATGATCGATTCTAGGTTAGAGTGTTAACTGAAGCTAAAAAGCAATTACAGATTAGGAGACTTCCCCAAAGATGGTAAATTCCTTTCACTTGAAACTTGCTATTTAAATGACATATCAGAGACAAAAATCCAAAAACTGCAAGGTGCAAATCTTTGCTGGTCTTCAGCATGTGGCAATCCTCTTGTTTCAGCCTCCTGAGTGCTGAGATCAAAGGCACACATGGCAACACCTGGCCCAGTGGAATTCTTGTTAGACTGTGGTGAGAGCCTTTTCACCTGCAGAACAGTTTCCCTGAGTGCTGGATCTGCTGCCCAGTTGACTTTACACCCCAAAATGATGTTCTATAGTTTAAAGTAAAAACAAAAAACAACTCAAAATATAACAACTTTAAAATTTTAACAAGATTTTTGTTAAATAATCCCTTCACTAACCTTATCTAATGTTTTAAACATTTACTAGAAAAGTACAGTAGCTCTGTATTCACAGAAAAGAGTGATACACAATTATTTTTTCTGTCCCAAGAATTCAACTCAGGACCTCATGCTAGCCAGGCAGGTGCTGTGACACTTGCCTGTATTCCCAGTGTGTGATACACTTTTGTCTTCATTTCTACTTACAAGAGGCTTCAGCAGGGTGAAGGTATGTTTATGATGTTTGCAAATATCTCATCAATTTCCACAGACAGTTTTTGCTTCTTTCATCCCTAGGCCCAGGGGTGGAACCCATGGCCATCACACTGAGCTGCATCCCCAGCCCTTTGTGTGGACAAACATGGGCCTCCACAGCCAGCTCAGTCAGCCTTCTCTCTCTCTTTCTTTTCTTTCTTTCTTTCTTTCTTTCTTTCTTTCTTTCTTTCTTTCTTTCTTTCTGTCTGTCTGTCTGTCTTTCTTTCTTTCTTTCCATTAATGTCTCAGGGGAAAAATCTTATGGCAACATTTACTAGAGTTTACTTGGACCAGTCATCATGCTGATATTTCTCTCTTTGTGATGGGGTTGGGGTCAACCCCATGTCCTTGAGCACCCACTTGAGCTAAATTCCCAATGGTAGCAGTCACCTTCTTAGCTGCCACTCTCACCCAGGTCCACTCTGCCCTCAAACTTGGAGGCTAAAGCTGTACTCCAACCTGCCTCTAGAGCTGTAGAAAACATGCCAGTTCTAAATCCTAATGATTAACCACGATGAAAAATGTGCTGACTGTACATGAACATTACATATGTGAGTACAGCAAATATCAGTAGACAATTATGATTTTTGCAATGCTGGGACTGAATTCGGGGCTTCACCAGTGCTAGGCAAGTGCTCTCCAGTTCAGCTACGGACTCAGACCTTGTACTGAATTAGCTTATGACCACAGCCTAACATAAACCGTGGTAAGGTCTTCATATCAGTGGTGTTTTAAAAAGGTCTTTATCCCTCCTTTCCTGATTTATACAAATGTTACCTGGAACACATGTTGAGTAACTGTAGCAAGCTCCATCTCTGTCTGTAGGCTTTGTTGCATGGTGTTTATCTTGTCTGAATTTTCCATACTGTCCAGCTCTTTTCTCAGGTTTTTTATTCTCGGTTTGTAGTTTTCGAAGCTGACTTTCGGAAACATCTTTTAATTCTGTTAGGTTAAAATAAAACAGTATATTATATATGAGAATTCTATAAACAAAGATCTTGAAAAAGCAAGCAGCAGAATATTTCCTAATTATTTCAGACAGCAGAAAAATGTGAGTTAATAGCAGCTAGGTTGTACATTCTATTTTGACCTGAAAATGACTCCCCAGACTTTTTGGCAGCGCAGATCAAATCCAGGAGTGCCTTTGCACTTCCCTTCTTCATGCCTACACCATCATTCCGTTTCATTTTTCTGCAGTGCTGGGGACTTCACCTTGGGCCTTCAAAGGGGGCTACACTCTTAGCACTGTTGTATTTGGAGACAGGGTCTTCCCAAATTGCCTAGGGTGGGTTTGAAGTAGGGATCCTTCTGCCTCAGCTTTCCCGAGGGCTGGGATTACAGGTGTGTGCCACCGCAGCTGGCTCCAACTTAATTTGTTCATTTTGAGACAGACTCTCACTACATTGCTGAGACTGGCCTCAAACTGTTTGATTTTCACCTCTAACTCCTAAACAGCTTGGATTAAAGGCATATGCCACTAATCCCACTTACAATATTTTAATTCCCTCAGTGAAATGATCAGGACATTTATGTGTGATCATGACAGCTGTCTACAAGTGCTGCAAGTGGCATCATGTAAAACAGAACTTGCTCTAAGTTACCAGAAGAACCTGTAGGAGATATACATAAAAACAAGCTCCTGCCTGCTTTATTATAAATGGGACAGCTAACCTGAATTTTAGTGAAAATACTGACAAACACTTTCAACCATTTTCAATTTTAAAGAGAATTTAAAAACCCACAAAAAATACAGAACTTCAAAACAAGATAGGAAATTAACAATGCTTATTATATTGCATATTGTGGTCTTTAAAACAGTTGCTGTGATTACCAGATGCAGAACTACTCAAATAGAAGCAGTTAATGTTCCTTTCGATGACCTATGAGCATTAGTAGTAGAACTGTCTTAGGTATCTGTGTGTGTACACACATATGTATAGATGTAACTTTCCTTGCTTCTTTTCTCCTTTTCCATGTCCCATTTCTTTCCTCTTCAGCAGTTTCATTCTCTTTCAGAATATGCGTTACACCTTTTAGATCTTATTTACTCTTTCAGTTTCTTACACTAGGGAGACAACATGCTGTTTACCCATATTGGTCTGTTTTACTTCACTTGTAAGTACAACATCTAGTTGCATCATTTACCTATAAAAGCCTTGAATTTATCCAACTTTATAGCTGAGGAATGCTATCTTATATTAAAATACCGTATCCTAGGGCCAGGTACTTAGCTCAGCAGCCCAACTGCCTGCTTGGCAGATGTGAGGTCGTGAGCTCGATCCTCACTATGAAAAAGAAACAGAAAATACATCATTTTTATGCTTTTTGCAGTTGATGGGCATTTGAGTAGTTTCATAGATCTATTACAAATTGTGCTGCAATAAACATGGATGAACATATATCATTGTGGTATGATGTTTTTAATTCTTCTGGGAAAACACCCCGAAGGGCAATAACTTGGTTGAATGGGACCTCTAGTCCTAGTTTTTGGAGGAGCCTCTACACTGATTTCACAGTGCTTGTACCTGTCTATATGCCTACGAAGGTTGGCAAAGGATGTTCTGCCCCACAACCCTGCCAGTATTGATTATTCAGTGATTTTTGATGATAGCCTATTGTTTCTGGGGAAAGGCAGAATCCCAGGACCTGATGTTTTTCAATTCTTTATATGTTCCAGATACAAGTCCTTTGTCTGAGGAACAGTTGGCTGGTTTTTCCCAATATGTGAGTTTTCTTTTCACTCTGTTGGTGACTCGTTTTGCTGTGAATAAAAAAACTTTGTAATAAGATGAAATCCTGTTTGTTGATCCTTGAAGTACTTCGTATGTAGTTTGTTCTTGTTCATGAAATCTTTGTCTACTGCCATGTCTTCAAGATTTCCACCTAATTTCTCTTCTAGTAGATTTCATATTTCTCTTTTAATATTTAGGTCTTTGATCCATTTGTGCCAGGGATTTGGCTCAGAGGCACAAGCACCTGCCTGCGAAGTGCAAGGCCATGAGTTGGATCCCTGGCACCAAAAAAAAAAAAAAAAAAAAAAAAAAATCTTATTTGTACTTTAGTGCATGGCGATAGCCAGGGGTTTGATTTTAGTTTTAGTATTCAGCATATGGAAAAAAGTTTTTCAGCACCATTTATTAAAGAGGATTTCTTTCACTGAACATCTTTGGCACCTTTCTCAGTGAGAGTGTGGCTGAGTGTAGGTTGTGTCTGCGTCTTTTCTGTTCCAATGATTCTCAAGTCTGTTTGCCAGTACCATGCTAATTTCATCACTGTAGCTTTGTAGTATAATTTCAAGTCAGGGATTGTAAGGTCTCTTGCTTTGCCTTTGTTGCCCAGGATTCTGGTCTCTTCTGGTTCCAGATGAATTTTAAGAATGTTTTCTCTAGACCTCTGAGGTACACTAATGGAATTTTGATCGGGATTATATTAAACCTATACAACAGTTTTGGGAATATGGACACTTACACAGTGTTGGTCCTCCCTATGCATAAGCAAGGGTATCATTCCATTTTCCAGTATCATCTTTGAACTCCTTTTTCAAAATCCTGTAACTTGTAATGTATAGATCTTTCACTACCTTTGTTAGAAGGATTCCTAAAAATCTCAGGTTTTGGATACTATTGTGAAAAGTGTTGTTTCCCTGGTTTCTCTCTCACTGAGTTTGTTATTCGTGTGCAAGAAGTCTACTGATTTTTGATCGTTGACTTTGTATCCAGCTACACCTCAGAATTTATTTGCTAAATCCGGAAAAATTTTGTGGAATTTTGGGGGTCTTCTAAGTAGAATATCTTGTGGTCTCCAAATAATAATTTCACTTCTTCCTTCCTTAGTCTTCTTCCTTTTATTTCTTTCTCTTGTATAATTGCTCTGGCTGTTTCCAGAACTATATGGAACAGGAGTAGTGATAGTGAATATCTTCACCTCGTCCCTAATTTTAGGTTGAAAGCTTTCAGTTTTTTTCCAATTAGTATGATGTGGGCTGTTGGTCTGTCACAGAAGACTATTTATCTGATTGAGGTAAAGGCTATCAGGGAGACTATCAGGTCAGCAGGGAGCTAGCAATAAGCACAGTAGCTGCAGAGTGTCTGGGAACTTACTAATCATTGACTCGTGGAGAAAGACACATTTTCCCACTATTAGAAATAACATCAAGCTGAATGTGGTGGCACATACCTGTAATCCCAGTACTATGGAGGCTGGGGCCAGGAGGATTCTTGCAAGTTCGAGACCAGCCTGGGCTACAATGAGCTCAGTAACAATTTTTAGAAAGCTTACTAAATTCTTTAATCCTTACACTATAAATTTTTTAGTTAGATTTTTAGGGTTTTATTTTTTAAACTTTTATCTTGAAAGGATAATTGATACATGGTAGTATAGAATTAATATTTAAAAGCGCTTATCGCTTGGTCACATGAGCTGCATCCTCTCCCCGAACTGGCGACCTGGCGTTCTACTGCAGAACTGGCAGAACCTGTTGAAAAGAATCATGGTCTTTATTTTCTTGACAGCCTGGTGCAGAGTAAGTCATTAGCACAGTGCCAGTAAACTGCACTGATGGAGCTGCGTGAACTTCCTAAAATGAAATCTGAGATCCTTTGGCTTTGAAGTTCAAAAATGTTCCTCCCCTGGAGTGCTGGGGGTGTAGTTCTGGGAATACAAAGTCCACGTTCTCTTGGAAGCTGCAAAACAAAAGAGCAGTGGAACGGGGTGTGGCGCCGAGGCGCTGCACGGTACGCCCAAAGCCGCGGTGCCGTCGCTGCCACTGCAGAGAAAAAAATAAGGCCTCCTGTCAGAATTTGAAAGCCGCGTGTGTGCGTTGTAGTTCTGAGCTGGTGCCAAAAGGAATGCAGCTTTTAAACTAGACCTCTGCTCAGTGCTAGCTGCGAACTCCTCGGGTAACTCCACCTAGAGGGTGATGTCTGCCCGTGCTCTTGTTGCTGCCTCTCATTGGCACGTGTGCTGGCGGGGTTGCACCTACTCTTGGTCACTGAGCCCTGCCTCTTCTTTTTATTAGAGTGCCGGAAGTGGTGCGGGAGCTGCCTCTGACCTCCTCTGTGGACGACTTCCGGCAGCCTCGGGCCAGTAGCACCAGTAACTTAGAGACACCTTCACAGAGGGCCCCCAGGAAGGGAAAAGCCGGCAAGCCCAAGAGAGCAGAGCAAGACCACTATGAAACAGACTACACGACAGGTGGCGAGTCCTGCGACGAGCTGGAGGAGGACTGGATCAGGTAGTGTCCCCTCCCCTCCTGCCAGCCCCTCACTTTCTGTCCAGTTCTGACCAGCCAGCTTTGTGGTTGTTGCCTAGGAACCGGGGCTCATGATGAAATTTCATTCTGCACCACCTAGGACGGGAGGCAGCACCTCCTGGTGCCCTTTTCCTGTGGTGTGCTGTTGTCATAAAGGTGGATGTGGAGGGAGTGACCTGTCTTAGGTGCACTTTGAGCTTCCCAGTGAAGTGGCTGATGAACGTCACCTGTGCTCTCCTACCAAGGTCCCCAAGAGGAGTTATTCAAATTAATAAAATACAGATACAGAGGCATTGTGTTCTGTGAGATCCATGTACTGAGGCTTAGCTTTGGCCGTTAAAACCACGATAAAACCAGAATTTCTCCTAAAGTTTGGTACAAAGAACTTGAGTAAACAGTTCTGTAAACAATTTAGTGTTTTGGCCAAGGTTGTGGTTTAAGTTCGTGTTGCTGGTTGGTTCTAACCCACTGTCACCAAATGCATGCAAGTGTGCTGTGTGGCCTTTTCTCATGCCTAAGTGTCCCGAGCTCCAGGACATAGATCAGAAATCTTCCTGGTGTGAATGCTGGTTAATCAAAAACTCTTTGTGGGGAGGAAAAAAAAAAAAAAACAAAACAACTCTTTGATGGGGCTTGAGATCCCCTATTCAGTGACAATCCTGGTGCCTCATCTGCCCTCCCCCAAAGAATTTTTGGCCTCCTTCAGCCATCTGTGTATAAACCTATTTGCCTAATTGGTATTGTTAAGGTTTTAACTGAAAACTTTGAGAAACCCTAAAGTTTTGTTTTACTTTTGATACAAATCATGTACTGTCTTCTCTCATTAAAATGAAGATAGTAGGCTGACTCTTACATCTAAATTTTGAGATTTCACATTGCTTTGAAGTGTCTTAGTCCTGTCAAACTATTCAGAGTATTTTCTCAGTAGGTTGTGAGTCAATAACGTCATCGTCTATGCAAAGAGATGCGCTTGTATTCAGGGAGACAAGTGGTGCAGAATTCTAATTTTTCTTCATACTTGAGTAAGTTTTTAGATTGTTTCTATATGAGCATGTGTGCCAGGTGTGGTGGTGCAGGCTTGTAAGTCCAGCATTCTTGGAGGTTATAGCAGGGGGATAAAAGTTCTAACCCAGTGTAGGCAATTTAATAAGACCCTGTGTAAGATGTTTTTTAAAGACTAGAGATGTAGCTCAGGGAAAAGGCCTTAAGTTCAACCCACAGAACCACATAAAGGAAGGAAGGAAGGGAGAAATGAATGCATTGGTTTTTGGTTTATTTTTGGTTTTCTTTTGTTTTTGAGACAAGATCTCCCTGCATAGTTCCTTTTAGGATGGCCTTGAACTTACTGAATAGCCCCAGTTGGCCTTAAACTTGGGATGGGCCTCCTGCTTCATCCTCTTGAGTGCTGGGATTACAGACATGTGCTACCATGCCCAGCAAAAGCACAGGTCTCATGTGTACTTTTTTTGTGTGTGAGAGAGGTTGAACCAAGGCTTTGCCTATGCCAAGCACATGCTCTACTACTGAGCTGCATCCCCAGCTCCTGTGTATACATTTTTAATGTCTGCTATTGTAATGAAAGGGCAAAATAAGCTATTTTCACTTAGGAAATACAAGCCAGTGTGAAAAATGTAGATGGGGTAGGAAACAGCTGCACCCAACCACTGCTCTGCCTTGCAAGATCAAAATAGGTTCAACTAAGAACTTCGAATACAAGTACTACGTTACCACATGGTGGTGTGCTAGGATATAAATGAATCCTGTAACTCTGACCCTAAATTTCATAAGTGATTTTTAACTTGATTTCTGAACATTAAAAGAAATAGTTTTTAAAAAATGTGAGTAACACAAAAAGTATAATTTTTTCTACATGCTAAGCAGTCACTATCACTGAGTACCAGCGCAAAGGTACACTCTTTTTTTTTTTTTCCATTTTCTTTTGTGGCAGAGTTTCTCTATATAGTTTAGTTTGGCCTTGAACTCACTGTATAGTATAGACTGGCCTCAAACTCAGAGATCCTCCTGCCTCAGCTTCCCGAGTGCTGGGATTACAGATACTTGCCTCCACCCCCACGAAATGCATAATCCTTAATAGTTCTTTGTATCCCACTTCTTTTTCTCTATAAAAAACACAACTAGAATGTCATTTTTCACACTCCACCAGCTTTATGATCTTTGAGGAAGAATATTGGATTAAATTTCTGTTAAGGACATATATGTAATTTTTCTCTTAATCCTTAGAGAGTATCTACCCATCACTTCAGATCAACAAAGACAGCTCTACAAGAGAAATTTTGATAGTGGCCTGCAGGAATACAAACGCTTACAAGCAGAACTTGATGACGTCAATAAAGAACTTTCTCGTTTAGATAAAGAACTGGACGACTATAGAGAAGAAAGTGAAGAGTACATGGTAAATTCAAACTTGACATTTGTGTGTTGCATAGAATTTGATTTTTCTTCTATGGTATTCTTTATAATGATGCATAAAAATTTTGGTAATAAACTGAGTGTGGTGGTGCATACCTTAATCCCAGCACTCTGGAAGCTGAGGTAGAAGGATTGCCACAAATTTGAGACCAGCCTGGGCTACATAGTGAGTTTAAGGCCAACCTGAACTACATAGCAAGACCATGTCTCAAAAAAACAACACAAATTTTCTTCTTTTGCTAGTTATCATAAAACTGTAACTTCGAAGTTGAAAGTCTTTCCAAATTGCAATGTACTAATTTAGTTGAGAATTACAAAGTAATTGTCTCTCGATGTTTATCACTTAAAGTGGTCACCCTGCTTTTCTATTGACAATAAGCACATCATTCTGTATGTAAACAACTCAATAGGGAAGCTGTGAAGGTGTGCTGGAAAGCATACTGCCCTGAGTCCTATTGGTGGAACACTTCAAAGCACATTATGAAAGCCTCTGTGCAGCAGTGCATGCAGCACACACAGCCTGCATTTCAGAGCTTTTAAGTGTGAAAATAGCTGCAGTTTTCCATTTTATTATTGTGCTATATTTTACTCACTAGAATCCTTTGCAGATAGACACTGAAGAATTTCTCCAGTACCCAGTAGTAGCAGTGAGACAGTGATGTTTGTACAGTTTTGTACTTCTGTCTGCTCCTCTGCCAGAGTGTGGCATTGCCTGCCTGGTGGTGGGTGTATCTCATCTTTGTTGTAAACCAACCCTGCAGGGCATGGACTGCATTCCCCCAGGAGCACCCTAGAGGGCGCATTGGCCTGCAGTCCACTAGTGCCTAAACAATGAATTGTCTTTGATATCTCTTCCTCTCGCTCCCTGTTTAGTGGCATGTCATATTCGTTTTAGTAGATACTCTTTGCAGTTTCAGATAAGGTGATCTGCTTTTAGTTTTGAAGTATTTTTTCTTTGATAAAACTATTGATATTATGTGGTTTCTGTGTGGTATATGGTACTGTTAAATAAGCCTTTTAAAAAAGTATGTGCTTTTTTTTTTCAGGCAGTCTTACTTTGTAATCTAGGATTGCCCTGAACTTATTTACATAACCCAGGCTGGCCTGAAATTCACAGTGATGCTCCTGTCTTAGCCTCCCAAGTACTGGAATCTCAGGCATGCACCACCTCATCCGGCACCTTTAGTTCAGTTAACTATTTTCTGGGGTGGGAGTGGGCTACGGGTTGAACCAAGAGCCTTTACACTAAACTACATCCCCAGCCTTTGTAAAATCTTTTTAGTCTTTTTGAGGCAGGGTCTCATTATGCAGTTCAGGCTGGCCTTGAGCTCACTTTTTAGTCCACACTGGTCCCAGACTCAAAGATGTTTCTGTCCCAGCCACCAGAGTGCTGGGATTACAGTTGTGAGCCACCATACCTGGTTTTAAAATCTTTTATTTCAAAATAAAGACTTGAGGGGACTGGGGATTTAGCTCAGCAGGCATAAGTGCCTGCCTGGCAAGTGCAAGATCACAAGTTCGATTCCTAGCACCAAAAAAAAAAAAGACTTGATAAATTTTCTAGGTTTGGCTTGAGTTTGTGGTCCTTCTGCCTCAGCCTCCCATAGTGCTAACAGACATGAATCGCTATGCTGGCTGTAGCTAACATTTATTGATCACTTATTGTATCTTTGATGTTAGAAAAACAGATAAAATCTTGTGTCTCCTAACAAAGGGCTTATATATATATATATTTTTTTGGTCTTTTTTGTTTTTATCAGTACCAGGGATTGAACTCACGACCGCTGAGCTGCTTATGCCGCTGAGCTAAATCCCCAGCCCCTCTATTTTTTTTTTTTTTTGAAGGCAGGATCTCACTATGTAGTGTAGGCTGGCCTTAAATTTACAGTGATGCTCCTGCCTCAGCCTCCTAAGTACTGGGTTTACATGTGTACACCTCCACATGTGGCTTAAAAAACTTGTATTCTAAGAGAGAAACTGATGTGTGAACAATTTGAACAATGTAGCTGTACTATGTTCACATATCATAAGAAGCGTTATCTAGTGCAGTGTATACAGAAGGGGTAAAGTTGGCTGAACATGTGGAGATTATAGGAGAAGCTTCCCAGAGCAATGACAGTCAAGAATTCTCCAGAGAGGCTATGTGAATGCCTTAATCCAAAATACTGGGGAGGCTGAGGCAGGAAGATCATAAATTGTGGCCATCCTGGGCAGTTTAATGAGGCTGTCTTAACATACAGTTCAGTGGGAGTACACTCACCTAACCTGGCCTTGGGGATCAGTCCCTAGCGACCCCTGCCATTACCAGATGGAAGGGGCATAGAGTGCAGAATTACAGCAAAAGGAAAACATGGTAAGAATCTTGAATCATTCACATGCCTAATTTTTTTTTCAAGAATGATACATAGCAGGCACAGAGCTAGAAAGGTGGAAAGTAAATGGAGCCCTTAGCCCACTGCTACGCAGGGACGTAGCCATTTCTGTGCCTTAGTAAAGACTTATGATGTCAGTGTTCATCAGGCCTGGCATGAGGGTGAGATAAGAAGCAGCAGAATAGTCACCTGAGGAAGTGGCTCTGTGTTGGACTTCTTCAGGCCACTCAGGTGGACATAAGAGTTTTAAGAGCTTTATGACTTTGTTTTAGGTTTTTTCTTTTTGGTGCTGGGGATTGAACTCACGACCTTGCTTTTAACCAGGCAAGCGCTTGAGCCACTGAGCTAAATCCCCGACCCTTGTTTTAGTTTCTTGTGTTTATACCAGAAGCTGTCATTTTTGCCTCCAAAATATAACATCAAGAATGTTAGCATTAAAAAAAAATGAAACCAGGGATTTAGCTCAGTTGTGTAAGTGCTTACCTTGCAAAGTTAAGGTCATGAGTTCAATCCCTGGTACCACCAAAAAGAAAAAAAATGTTAGCATGGTGACGCCTGCTATATTTCCAGCACTTCAGAGACTGAGGCAGAAGGGTCTGTGAGCTTCAGACTAGTTTGGGCTACCTAGTGAGGTCAAGGCCACCATGAATTACATACCAAGATCTTGTCTCAAAAACCAAACTAAACCAAACCAAACCAAACCAATGTTATTCTCAGTGCTCCACTAATATGTTCCCTTGTGTTTCTCATTGATAGGCCGCTGCAGATGAATACAACAGACTGAAACAAGTTAAGAGAGTGAGTATGGTGAACTGTAAGATTCTCTCAGGAAGAACTTTTCTGTGTTTTTTAATTTAACCTTTAGGATGACTATGAATACTTTATCACACATACACTGATTATAGATAAAAGGTCCTATAATTTGAGTATAAACACTATGACTGATTGAAACTTTAATTTCACATTTTCATAGCTACAACCTATGCTAATTTTCCAAAAGATAATTTTTATTATAGTAGTTTTGTTTGTTTGTTTGGTTTTTATTTTGTTTTGTTTTGGAGGCAGGGTCTCACTGTACGGTTCAGGCAGGTTTTGAATTTACCATGTAGCCCAGGCTGGCCTTGAACTCATGGTGGTCCTTCTGCCCCTGGCTGCCAAGTGTTGGGATTACAGGCCTGTACCACCATACCTGGCTAAAAAGTATTTTCTTATTTTTTTCTTCTTCTTTTTCTGCTTGAAATAAAGTAGATTTAGAAAAAAGAAAAAAATGGTGCCTGGGGATTTAGCTCAGTGGCATAAGTGCCTGCCTGGCAAGTGCTAGGTCAGGAGTTCAATCCCAGGTACCGGAAAAAGAATGAAAACAGGGAAAAATGTATTTTCTTCTTTAAATTAAACATTCAGTAAAGTGCACAAATGAAATAGTACACTTGGTACATTTTATTTTTATCTTTTTTTTTTATCTTTTTATTGGTACTGGGGATCGAACTCATGACCACCTGCTTGCAAGGCAGGTGCTTATGCCACTGAGCTAAATCCCCAGCCCCTCACTTGGTACATTTTCACAACAGGACCACACACCTGCATCCTGGTACCCATACCAATAAGTCAGTTTCCTTGTGTCCTGGCAACCCCGATTCTTTTACTCCCTTCAGTTCTTAGCGTTTTCTCTTCACATCAGATTGCTTTTGCTCATCTTGAACTTCATTTCTGTGGAATCACATAGCATGTATTTCGTGTGTGGCTGTTTTTGCTCAGCGTTGTTTGTAAGATCCAGTTATGGTGTTAGTTGTGGCTCATTTATTTTTATTGGTGTCAAGTGCTGTGTTTTATGACTTAACTTACTCAACTGTTCTATTGCCAGTGGATGTTTGAGCCCTCAATTTTTGACCTTTACACATAATCCAGCATCACATATTTTTGTAAACATGCACACACTTGATAGGTATATCCTTCCTAGTAGGGTAGTAGGTTCATCGGTTGTATGTGTGCCTGGCTCATGACATTCTGCCAGGCAGCATCCCCAGGCTGGGCCAGTTCACATGCCCTCAGTGTAGATAGCGCCTGGTCCTCTGTGTTTTTGTAATACTTATGTTAATGGGTCATCATTGACCTAAAATATTTTTAAAAGATTTTTATATTAAAGTTTTTATGAATTAAGAACCATAATTTTGTTTGTTCGATTTGTCTTTTTGAGACAGGGTTTCGCTATGTAGTTTAGGCTGGCCTTCAACTTATTATATCGCCTACATTGACCTTGAACTTGCAGTGATTCTCCCACCTCAGCCTCCTGAATGATGGGATTACAGGCATGAGGCACCACACCTGGCTAAAAACCATCGTGATTTTAAATAAAAGTTTTAAAGAGGCATATGTAAAATTTTCAGTTTCCCTTATCCCCTACTCACTTCCTTCCCCCATTGACGTCTTTATCTTTTTGAAATAGGGTCTCACTATGTAGAACATCTGCTCTTGAGCTCACTTTTTACCCCAGGCTGGTCTCAACCTCATGGCAATCCTCCTGCCTCAGCCTCCAGAGTTCTGGGATTACAGGAGTGCACCAACACATCCAGCTTCCCCCATTGACTCGTACCATGGTTTCTATTTTATTGATATTTTAAAGATGATCTGTTACCAAAAGGCCAGTAAGTTGTCTTGGTAATGTAGCGAAGTTTTAGAAATGAATGCATCCTTTTTAGAAGATAAGATTGAGCAGAGTTAGCTGTCTGTGTGGTTGGTGGTACAGCCAGATGTCTTAGTGTTTGTTCATTTATGCTAAGCAATTCTGTATGACTAATCTTCCCTTTTTAAATTCGCCTTTGCAAGCTGGGCATGGTGGCACACGCCTGTAATCCAGCACTCAGGAGGCTGAGGCAGGAGGATCATTGCAAGTTTGAGAACAGTCTGGGCTACAAAATGAGTTCAAGGCCAGCCTGAACTGCCTAGTGAGACCTTGTGTCAAATAAATAAATTAAATAAAATAAATTCACCCTTGCCTTCTTAGCAGAACTATTTTAATTTGGTTTTGTTCATGTGATTCATTTTCCCCCCTCTTTAGTCAGCAGATTACAGAAGTAAGAGAAATTACTGCAAGCAGCTGAAGAGCAAACTATCACACATCAAGAAGATGGTTGGGGATTATGACAGACAGAAAACATAGAGGGCAGATGCCACGTTGCTGGAAAAATGAAGGTGTCTCTGTAGTGTTCTCAGAAGACAAACGACTGGACCAGGAAGCCAAAACTTTGTTATCATTACAGAGTTTTGGTAGCATTTGTATCATCAGTTTCGTATCATCAGTATTGAACCATTTTATAAATAACTTTTGATAATCACTTGGGCTGAACACTCCAATTAAAAATTTTACAGTTTAAACATTGGTTTCTGTGTTAACAAATACTGGGCCAGGCTTTATGCTGTACTATTTGTAATCCTTGCACTCTAGGAGGCTGAAGCAAGAGGACTGCAGGTTCAAGCCCAGCCTGGCCAACTCAGCAACTTAGTGAGACCTGTTTCATGTTCGTTTGTTTGTCTGTCCATCTGTCTGAGACAAGGTCTTACTGTGTATTCTGGGTTGGCCTGGAACTCACTACGTAGCTCAGGTTGGCCTTGAAATTACAAAGCTGGGGATGTACCTCAGTACAAATTACAAAGCTGGGATGTACCTTAGTGTGAAGGCTCTGAGGTCAGTCCCCCACACTAGGAGAAAAAGAAAGAACAAAATACTGCTCCGGGGTTTAAACCTTCACACCCTAGACAGTGGATACCTAAGTACTTCTTATCACATAAGCAGTCTCACTAACCCTACTAACAACCCTTCAGATGACTTACTTACAATTTCTTTTCAGATAAGGAACCTTGGTCCTTGCTATAAGTCTCTGAAATGAAACTACTTGTTTCAAGCATGCAGTTTTGGTTAAGTCTGTTTTATAACTCTTCTAATAAGGTTTCTGCTTCTCATATTTTAGCTACTGTGTATACTGAGTTCTACCAGCCCCTGTATTTGTTACTATATTTAAATGGTTAAAAAAGGATTTTTGTTTTATGTTACAATGGATAATTAAGATCATGTAAAGTTGAGATCATGTAAAAATTAGATGTGTGAAATTTAAAGACTGTAAATATTTAATTTTTGAAAATCTAAGTTTAAATCTAGTGGTTACAGTTTTGTGTATTTTTAAATACTTTTTATCTTTTATGGTTTACATGTGTTTTTTATAATCAACTCAACATTTTCACTATATCAGTATCTGATTAAATTTATCTTTTAATTATGACTTGAATTATATCTTCCAGGAATGTTCAAGTTTTATAAATGTTTTGTAAATATTAAGCCTGGTATTTTTTCTGTATACTATATCTACTTAACATCATTAATATTAAGCTGTGTAATACTATACTCAGGAGTTGTCTCTATTTCAAACTAATTTCCCAATCCTTTCATTTTAAGAAAGTGGATGTATGAATGCTATCTCATAAAACATCAAATTATTTTAAATGGTGCTCCATCTTTGTTTTTTTTTTTTTTTTTTTTTTTTCATCTTTTTGAAACAGTCTTGCTATGCTGTTTAGCCTGGCTTTGAGCTCCTTTTGTAGCCCAGGCTGGTCTGGAACTTGAAATGATACTCCTGCCTCAGCCTCCTAAGTGCTGAGATTACTAGTGTGTACCACCATGCCTGGCTTTCATTCTTTTTTGAAAAGTGAAAAGTTTTTTTAAAGTCAAAGTTTTATTACTAAAGTAAAATTAGTTGATAATTCTGCAGTAACCATGGTAGTTGTGTCCATCTAATTTCTGATTAAGACTTTAAGAATCTTTTAAAGAATAATCTTTAATCTTTAGTGTGTAATTCAAACATTTGAAAATATAATTATTTTCCAAAGATAAACTTTATTTTTTGATACAAGGTGTCACTGTGTAGTTCAGGTTGGCCTTGAACTCACTATGTAGCCTGTGCTGGCCTCAAACTCTACAGCAGTCCTCCTGCCTCAGCCTCAAAAGTACTGAGATTACTGGCCTACACCACAATGCCTGGCTGTCCAAAGATCAACTTTTAAATAATGTTCCCATGTAACACTGATTCATTTCTTCAAATTGAAGAAATTCTTAGTTTTCTACATGTGATACATAGTGCAAAGTATATTTTCATAGCTTTTAGATTTATATCAAATGGAAAGACTCTTGAAATGTCTTCATTAAGTTAACTTCATTACGTTAAAGTTTTTAACTCCTTGTTCTTGGAAGTTTGTCAGTGTTCTCACAAAACAGATATTCTGCCGAATGCAGAGAAGGAAATAGAGTCATATGACTGTAAACTTGTGATATAAAATTGGATTTTGAAATTTAAAAAATGAGAAACTACATTTTAGATGTGGTACTTATTACTAAAGATTACTTTAGGAGCCAGGATCAAGGCATTTCTGTTGGTGTTGACATTAACTCACTGGATGTAACTTTGTAAAGCTATGCCTCAAATTAGTTTCCTAGTCTGGAAAATAAGAGAATGAGATTCAGCTTCAGAGATTAGATTCTCTCCCATCTGTCATTTGTGGTTCATGTGTCTCCATTCTATTTTCTACCATGAATTACTGTTCTGAAGAATTTCTTATGAAAACATTTGGTCCATCTTTTAAAAATTTCCCTGAGTAAAGTGATGCCCTAATTCATAATTTTGTATTATAAAACTGGGATCAGGAGCTGGAGATTTAGCTCAGCAGCATAAGCACCTGCCTTGCAAGCGCGAGGTCATGAGTTTGATCCCCTGTACCGATAAAAAAAAAAAAAGAAAAAGTAGGATCTGTACTATTTTATTTTGAAAAATGTAAAGAAATACAGAAAAGTATAATGCATGGACCTGCCACCCAGAAATAATTTGTTGTATGTACTTTGTATTTTTCAAAATGCATTTATAATAAATAGTAATATTGTACATATATACTCACACATATACACTTGGAACCTCATTTAATTCTTGGAATACTCTTGGCATGTAACCATTTCTTTTTCTCGTTTTTTTTTTTTTTTTTTTGTCTTTTTCCTTTTTATCGGTACCGGGGATTGACCTCACGACTGCCTGCTTGCAAGGCAGGCGCTGATGCCGCTGAGCTAAATCCCCAGCCCCTTCTTATTCTCGTTTTACAGATAGGAAACTAATGATTTGATAGATTAAGTGGTCCATTGTTGTACTAGCAAATGGCAAAACTGCAGATTGGAAACACAGTCTCTTCAACTCTTAGGTCCTATGCTTCCACCCTAGGTAGGCTTTGTTAATTAATGGGCTGTATAATGTAAGATCGCTCTGACATGTAAATAAAGTATTCTGTTTTAATGTTGAATTCATCTGAAATTTAATTAACATGAACTTCTTACTATAAATATGTGAAAGACTATAAGACCTAAATGGCTTTATGGCCCCTGTAAAGAAGGGTCAGGCAGAGGATCACATGTTGGAGCAGTTTGAGCAATTTAGCAATAACCTGTTGCTGAACTGACTTAGCAATGCCCTGTCTCAAAGTAAAAAAGGGGTAGGGCTGTGACTCAGTGCAAAGGCCCTGAGTTTATCTTCTATACCAAAAAGTCTTGGACCCAAGGACTCTGGCTTCCTTTGGGGCAGTGGGAATTGCTTACACACATTCTCCTGCTGGTCCACTCTGGACCTGTATTTTGTTTTTTTTAATCTTTGTACCAGAAGTTGAACTCAGGACCTTGCTCTTGCGTGGCAGGCACTTGTGCTGCTGAGCTATCTCCTGGGTCTACCGCTCTGGACTTTTTCAAAGGCTCAGCTGCAGGTGCCAGGACGCTGTGGGCTCTTAGGTGTCAAACTCCAGTTCCATTTCAGAAGCTCAGCTGGAGAATCAGAATTAAGCCACACTGTTCTGGCTGCCTGAGATTCTGTTACACCACACCACACCATCCTGCCTGAAATAGATGCAGGACTACATCAGCCTGCATATGTTTTACATTGTTAGCAGTTTTCCTAATGGGAAAAAAAGGTATAAAAAGTTAAATAATTTGGGCAAACTTTAAAAAAATGTATTAGTAAATTACAATCATGGCCCTTTGCAGTTTGAAAAATAATATGGATACGCATGCGGGATTTTTTTTTTTTTTATGCAGGATGTTTTTACCTGACTGAACAGGATGTGAGTGTTCCACGTTGTCATGGGACGGGCTTGCTGTCTCTGTTGTCCTGTTGCTTTTCCCTCTAGCAGTTACTTGACAGGGGTTACTGGGCAGGTTGTTTAGCCTCCATGGACCTCAATTTTGATTCATCATTTGTGGAGGGTGCTGGGGGTTGAACTCAGGACCTCGCTCTAGCCAGGTCCTACTTTATTATAAATGGGACAGATAACCTGAATTTTAATGAAAATACTGACAAACACTTTCAACCATCTTCAATTTTAAAGAGAATTTTAAAAATCCATAAAAAATACAGAACTTTAAAACAAGATAGGAAATTAACAATGCTTATTATATTGCATATTGTGGTCTTTAAAACAGTTGCTGTGATTACCAGATGCAGAACTACTCAAATAGAAGCAATTAATGTTCCTTTCGATGAACTATGAGCATTAGTAGTAGAACTGTCTTAGGTATCTGTGTGTGTACACACATATGTATATATGTAACTTTCCTTGCTTCTTTTCTCCTTTTCCCTGTCCCATTTCTTTCCTCTTCAGCAGTTTCATTCTCTTTCAGAATATGCGTTATACCTTTTGGATCTTATTTACTCTTTCAGTTTCTTACACTAGGGAGACAACATGCTGTTTACCCATATTGGTCTGTTTTATTTCACTTGTAAGTATAAACTCTAGTTGCATCATTTGCCTATAAAAGCCTTGAATTGATCCATCTTTATATGTAAGGAATACTATCTTGTATTAAAATACCATATCCTAGGGCCAGGTACTTAGCCAGCAGCACAGTTTCTGCTTGGCAAATGTGAGGTCGCGAGCTCGATCCTCACTATGAAAAAGAAACAGAAAATACATCATTTTTATGCTTTTTGCAGTTGATGGGCATTTGAGTAGTTTCAAAGATCTATTACAAATTGTGCTGCTATAAACATGGATGAACATATGTCATTGTGGTATGATGTTTTTAATTCTTCTGGGAAAACACCCTGAAGGGCAATAACTTGGTTGAATGGGACCTCTAGTCCTAGTTTTTGGAGGAGCCTCCACACTGATTTCCACAGTGCTTGTACCTATCTACAACATGCCTACGAAGGTTGGCAAAGGATGTTCTGCCTCACAACCCCGCCAGTACTGATTATTCAGTGATTTTTGATGATAGCCATTGTTTCTAGGGAAAGGCAGAATCCCAGGACCTGATGTTTTTCAGTTCTTTATATGTTCCAGATATAAGTCCTTTGAGG